TTCATCACAGAGATTGAAAAATCTACCCTAAAATTCATTTGGAAACAAAAGAGACCGCGAATAGCCAAAGCAATACTCAGCAAAAAGAGCAATGCTAGAGGTATCACTATACCTGACTTCAAACTATATTACAAAGCAATAGCAATAAAAACAGCATGGTGATGGCACAAAAACAGACATGAAGACCAGTGGAACAGAATAGAGGACCCAGATATTAATCTATACAACTATACCCACCTCATTTTTGACAAAGGTGCCAAAAATATATGATGGAGAAAAGACAGCCTCTTCAACAAATGTTGCTGGGAAAAGTGGTTATTCATCTGCAAGAAACTGAAACTAGATCCATGTCTATCACCCTGTACTAGTATCAACTCAAAATGGATCAAGGACCTAAATATCAGACCTGAAACTCTGAAGTTACTACAGGAAGGAGCAGGAAACACTCTGGAACAAATAGGTATAGGCAAAGACTTCCTCAATACAACCCCAGCAGCCCAGCAACTAAGAGAAAGGATAAATAAATGGGACTTCATAAAATTAAAAACCTTCTGCACAACAGAAGAAATGGTCTCTAAACTGAAAAGACCACCCACAGAGTGGGAGAAAATATTTGCCAGCTATACATCAGAGAAGGGTCTGATAACCAGAATATACAGGGAAGTTAAGAAACTAAACTCTCCTAAAATTAATGAACCAAAAAGGAAATGGGCAACTGAACTAAACAGAACTTTCTCAAAAGAAGAAATTCAAATGGCCAAAAATCACATGAAAAAATGCTCACCATCTCTGGCCATAAAGGAAATGCAAATCAAAACCACACTAAGATTCCACCTCACCCCTGTTAGAATAGCCATCATCAAAAACACCAGCAACAACATGTGTTGGCAAGGATGTGGGAAAAAAGAAACCCTAATCCACTGCTGGTGGGAATGCAAGCTGGTGCAACCACTCTGGAAAAAAATTTGGGGGTTTCTTAAAAATCTAAACATAGACCTGCCATATGATCCAGCAATCCCACTCCTGGGGATATACCCAAAGGAATGTACCACAGGTTACTCCAGAGGCACTTGCACACCCATGTTTATTGCAGCACTATTCACAATAGCCAAGTTATGGAAACAACCAAGATGCCCCACTACTGGTGAATGGATCAAGAAAATGTGGTACTTGTACACAATGGAATTTTACTCAGCCATGAAGAAAAATGAAATCTTATCATTTGCAGGTAAATGGATGGATCTGGAGAACATCATTCTGAGCGAGGTCAGCCAGGATCAGAAGACCAAAAATCATATGCTTTCCCTCATGTGTGGACTTTAGATCTAGGGCAAATGCAGCAATGTGGTTGGACTTGGATCACAAGACAAGGGGAGAGCACATACAGGAGATATAGGAATAGATAGAAAACCCAAAACATGAAAGTGTTTGATGTCCCCACTCCAGAAGAACTAAAAATGGCAGGTTATCATGAGCAGGGGATCAGGAACCAATGTAAAGATCAGTTAGAGTTGAATCAACATGGGTCATGACACATGTATAGCTATCCTTAACTCAACTAGCAAAAACGCTTTGTCTTCCTCATTGTGCATGTCTTTTCTTCAACAAAATCAGTGCCTGGAACTGAGCGGGGGAGGGGTGGGGGAGGGGGACAGGGTGGAGAAATGACCCAAACAATGTATGCACATATGAATAAATGAACAGCAACAACAAAAAGAACTCTCTTACAGTGATGCTAATCCTATTCATGAGGACTCCATCCCCAACATCCCCTAAGTACCTAAAGGGAGGTTAGATTTTAAAGTCTGAATGGGGGACACAAAGATTCAGTCTATAATGGTTTCTAGCTCATAAGACATGGTTTTCAACCTACAAGTAGGGTAGCCAATTGTCCTAGATTACCTGGGACTGAGGATTTCTTAGCAAGTGGAACATTTCTTGGTAAAAATGAGACAGATCTGAGAACAGCTTGCTACCCTCAGTCTAGCTCCAAAATGGTCTTGCATTTGGTTCCCTCTCAATTAGTTTTCTCTAAGGGCCCCTATATCCTTCAAACCTGCTTATGGCTCCACTCCTTGTTCATGTCTCCAGCTCACCTACCTCCAGCCTGTGAACTTGATGCATGAGCACTTTTCTCTTCCTGAAGTAAGGCTGATGAAGCCAATTTGCCCCAGATACTGGGTTAAAAGTCCCATGTGTCCTTTGAGCTTCTTCCCTTTGATAAAACTGGGGTAAAGCCATAGAGTACTTGAAATTCTGTCCTAATTCCAGACACTATCCATTCCAATAATCAGGAGTTTTTATGAAATATGAAGAATCCAGGACTTCTATCCCAAACTGTCTAAAGATGAAGCCTGAGAATCACCATGTCGGAAAAGCTTCTGGGTGACTATGATGTTTAAGAAGGCTCTGGAACACACTCTCAAGAACACAGTGTCTCCACAGAGGGTGCCATGAAATGTGTTTGTGCTACAGATAGAGTTTCTAATTGGACTTCTAGAATAGAGGTGCATTTGAGGTATCTTACTAAGTAACAAATACTTTTGCAACCCATAAACTCAAGTTGAAGACCAATATTTTGATATCAAGACAGACAGCCTACTACACTTTGCTTAGATTATCATTTCAAATATCAACTGCAAAAATTAAATGACTTAAGTCTTGCCCTAATCCAGTCTAAAGTGAGTTTCAAACCAGCTTAAGTGACAATTTATATTTACGAATGTTTTGCTGTTAGTAATTAATTGGTAGCATATTATGTCAAGATACTCCTATAAATATCACTTGGTACATTTTGTCTTTGTTATACCAATCATTGGCATCAACTATTAACAACTGAATATGTACGTGTGTGTGTGTGTGTGTGTGTGTGTGTGTGTGTGTGTGTGTGTGTAAGGTTTAGGGCTACATGCTAGACTTTAAGAGAAATAAAACTTTTTAAGTTACTATAATCTTTTACTGACTATTGCTATCTGTACTAATCTTATGCAATCACCTGTCACCAGATACTTACACACTCACAAAAAATCATCTACAGTTCCAAGGTATTCAAAGATTTCAGCAGAAATCCATTTGAAACCCTCCCAAACCCATTAAGAACTGCTGATCTCAGCATAAATTTCTTTCTTCTGGGTGATGCACAGATTAGGAAAAGTACAGCCTTCTTTTAAAAATAAATCTTAGTAGCCCGTGACCAAACCATACCATAATTTAAATCATGAAAACACCTTACAAATGTCTGTCATTTTGACAATATCTCTGCCAAATGAAGAAACTCTAGATCCCTGAAAACATCTAGATGTCAAGATGGTTTTCTAGACTCCTGGAAGTGCTTTGGGACACCTCAGATTTATCTACTGAAGTAGATATCCAGTATCTACTCCACAAACCTCCTCTGTAAGGAGGCTTATGCCCTTTTCTGTCACTTGACACTTAACATGGAGGTACTGCTGGCTCCTTTGTGTAAGCAATTTTATGTAAACACAGAATTTGTTTTTACTTTACAAAGACTGCTAATAAGCTTATTCAAATTCCTGTCTATCCAGAATGAAAAAAATGTAAAATAGGCTTGATATTTAGAAATGCAAGTCATGATTAAAAAGAGAAAAAAAAATCTATATTCAACATGCAACCAATATTAAACACTCTTTACTATATAGTCATATAGCTAATCCAAAACATCAGGTAATTCAACAGTTAATTTATATTTAGCTTGGGACTTCTTTACGTATTTTCAATGTATTTGTTTGGAGGAGGCAGGATATGGGGTGGGGTAAGGAGTAAAAGGGTCTAAATATCTTACTTAAATCCCTAATTAAGCTTCTGCCTAATTTCACTCATATGTCATCCAAATACAGTGGCCAACAGAGCAAGACAACTCATCATGCAACATGGACAGCCAACTGGCCAAAGACGTATACCCATAAGGAAATAATTAACCACTTACAAGCAACATTGCACTAGGCCTCAGTGCCCTTCCTACAACTAGTATTATTTCACAGGTCACTTTTATCTGTTTAATATAATAAAGTGTTTAAATAATGCCTAGATCATAAAAAATTTAAATAACAGTAATAGCTACTCTTAATAACTCCTGTTAGCCACTATTATGAATATGAACACCCCAATGTTGAAGATGACTATTTTGCTGGTTTGACCACGTGGGAGTATTTTAAACAGTAGTGTCTTAAATGTACCACTGCTTATGAAATCAAAACAGACTAACTTTGTAAATCTCTTCAATGTCTTTCATCTCCAGGAGATTGAAGCAACCTCACATGAAGCAATCTCACCTAAGCCTATTCAGAAAGCAGTCTGCAAGCCTCTGACCCATTTGTGTGAGACAACATTAGCTCTGCTCTCATTTCTACTCATGTAAATTAGTGTTTCTAAGTCTTCCTGGGAATATTAATCTGCCTTCTGTTTGTTAGCCAAACTACTATCTCCAGGATTAAAACCAGAGAAACTAACAGAAAATCGAGACTCAATTTTGAGACTTTTTGAGCTGGAAATTAATGAGAGAGGGAGAGAACAGAGAATATAGGATAAGTGGAGCTCTCAACTCCACTTTCCCTGCATTGATGGATCATCTTACAAGCAGTTAACTGAAGAGAGGGAGTAACAGTATTGAAACCCCTCCTTAGTCAGTACTTCAAAAATATCATGAGTTTCAAGATGGTACAGAGTAATCTAAGTACAGTGACACAAAATAACACACCCCTCCTTTGTTAAAGGAGACCAAATAGGAAAATGGAGATGAGAGTTGTGATAGGTGCTTTACCCCATCCCCATTTATGTAAGTCTGACTTTTGGCTGTAGACAGAGGGGTCTACATTAGAGCAAATCCTCATTCCTCCTGCTCCCTCCCAGCTCCCCTTGGGCATCACTTGGGCTTTCATGTTGCATTATGTTCCTCAGGGGTCCAGGAAAAGGATGAAATAGCAGGAGGCTGAACTATATTGAGAGTACAATTTGGGACATACGCTGGCCCTGCCTCTTACCTGCAGAATCCGCCCCATCAGCAGGAACATTCTGGGTCGATGCTGGGGCTGGGTCCTTGAATCCATGCACCTGAACAGCTTCTTCCTGGTTTGTCAAAATTGCAGAGCAGAGATCAGATTCGAGGGCTTGGAGCTTCAGCAAGGAATTCTGCCAGCAAAAACAGAACATCAGGTCAGCTAAGTAGATGCCTAACACACAACGGTGGATCTGCAGCTCCCGCAGGCAACCTTTCCCCAGTGACTGTCAGGAAGAGTGTCGTGGCTGGCCACAGCTGCTTCAGGAAAAGAGCTGGTGGTGAATCAGATGCGTATTATTCCACATGCAGCCTCAGTTTCTGCCTCATTTAAATCCTAACATATATGGATTATCTGTGACACATGGGACTGGTGATTTCGTCAGCAGTAGACGCTGCATCTGGAGAACCAATCTCAGAAGGTATCTGTTTCCCAAGTGCTGAAGCTTCACGCTTTGCAAGTGTTTCATTCATTGTGCTGACATCAGGAGCCGATGATATTAGGCCCCTCCCAGGTTACCTACCATTCATAAAAGCCATCGTCCCTCCAAAGCACAGACTGCAGCAAACCGCAGTGCACAAAGAGTTACTGCTGCAGAGGCTGCCTGGCATCAGGGAGGGGCTTCTGAGCTCCCTTACCCATGCTGTGTAGCATGTTTGCATTTTCTAAGTTACTTCTCTCATATGTTGAAGGAGACAACCCTGGTCCCTCAGCGTAACCCAGCCACTGAGAGAGAAGCAATTTATCTTTCATAGCCCCCAGTACAACCTCCCGCTCACCCTCTCAGTTCTCAGTTTTAATTTCTCCCATGTTCTTAAAGTAAGAACAAGTCATGCAGACTGACGCACATATCCTGCCATGATGCAGATGCCCAGGAAATTAATTCTCCCAACCAGGTGAACGTGAGTCATGCCTGTGTCTCTGGCTGAGTGCTACTCCCCACAATGGGGAACTCTGCTGGTCTCAGAAACTCTTTCACCCACCTGGCTCCAGCTCCAACCAGAACAGTTATGGTGGGGAGGGAAAGAGTGCAGAGCAATTGGTCCTTTTCCTACTATAACTTTCCAGCTCATATCCACTCCTGTTCACACCCTCCCCCCGCACATATCCTATTCCCACACACCTGAACATCCTACTCCACAGCTCCATCCCTGCCTCATGAATACCCCTACCCCTCAACCTGTACCCTACTCCATACACACATACATACTCACAACCAACCTTTCACACTCTTACCCCTACTATACGCACCACACAGACACATACTCCCATACCCAACCTCCCACACTCTTAACCCCTTCTCTCTACAGCCCCCCAAGTGCCCTCACTTCTACCACATAGACACACAAACCTTCATACCCTTATAACCTACTGACAAACACCCTGATCCTCAAGCCGGCTTTCACACACTATTCCACACACACAAACACAGCACACACATTCCCATACCCTTCCTACCACACACTCTAATACCAGTTCCCCATATTCACTATCCTATTCCACAAATACCACCCTATTCCTGCCTCACATACCCACTTCTGACTCGTCCACACCTAATACAACCACACTTAACTTCCTACGCCATAGACACACACATACCCTGCTCATACATACCCTCACTACCTCATACAAGCACCTACTCCCAAATCTCCTCACACTGCAACCCTTTCCTCCCACACACTACCAACTCATACCACATACCCTTATCCATTGTGTTGATGGAGTAGGTATGAGCCACAGCAGTGTTTTAAAAGCTGTTCACTGAGGGATGTCTTAAACCTGTTGTCCTCAGCCATTCTGAAAACAGCAAGATTCTTCCTCTCCTGTGCCCAGGTATGGGTTAGGATGTGATACAAACTTTGTCAGTGATTCAGAGGTTGCTGCCTGAGAGCCAAAGCTCAGAAGAAGCACTTGCCTAAGACCATAGGTTTTTCATGGCTTCCTCCATTGTGAGAGAATGCTGAGTGTGGGAGCAAGAGCCCTAGCCTTTTGAAAGGAGATCCAGGAGGAGAAAGGACACCAAGTTTCTCATAGGATTTAGTAGTTAGTAACTAACCAATAGGGAGACAAAAAGAGCAATTTCAGGAAAGCTTCCTATTGAGGGGCCTTGGAAATTAGACTGACCTCTCAAAAAGAGTAAAATTACTCTGAAGATTTAAAAATAGTATCATGGAAATGTAAAATGGTGTGGCCACTATGGAAAACAGTATGACAGGCCCTGAAAAATACAATTCCTCTGCTGTGCATATACCCAAAAGAACTGAAAGAAGAGACTTAAATTGTTTGTATACCCATACTCATGGCATTTCGATAGCCACAAATTATGTTATACACCGAATTATATCTCTCCAAAGTTCATCTGGTGAAGCTCCCCAATGTGGCTGTATTTGAAAATAGGGCCTTTAAAAAGTTAATTGAGGTTAAATAAGATCATAAGGGTGGGGACCTAATCCAGTGACTAGTGTCCTCACTAGAGGAGAAGACCATGTGATAATAGTTACATGCTATCAGAATGTAACCATCTGCAAACCAAGGAGTGAGGCCTCAGGAGAAACCAACACTGCTGTCCCAATGATTTTGGATTTACAGCCTACAGAACTATGAGAATATAAGTTTCTGCTCTTTAAGTCCCCCTACTCCAGCTTGTGGTGTTTTGTTTTGGCCTCACAAACTAATACAAGGCGCAAACTGTCCATGGGCAGAAGAATGGATAAGCAAAACATTCTTCAGCATTAAGAAGGAAGAAGTGGCTCCAGTGGCACAGTTAGTACATGATACTTATACAAAGAGGAAGACAATTCTGACTTGTGCTACCACATGGATAAAACCTGAGGACATTATGCTAAGTGAAATAAGCCCATTATAAAAGGACAAATACCACATAATTCTACTTACTAAGATATTCACAATAGTAAAACTCACAGGTACAGAGAGGAGAATGGTGGTTGCTAAGGGCTGTTAGTGAGGAGGGGATAGGAGGTTATGGTTTAACCTCCTAGAGTTATGTTTTTGTTGTACAAAAACATAACTGTATTTAATGCCACTAAACTATACACTTAAAATGGTAAGTTTTGTATTATATATATTTCACAACAATTTAAAAAAAAAGAACCATAAGTAAAAGGGGTGGGTCTTTTACTTTACCTTTCATTCCCTCCCCCAAAAAAAAAGTGGCACCAGCAAACTGGCTCAAACTCATGTGCTCTGTGTATTCTGAAAAGCAAAATAGGACACAGTCTTCAGGCCCCAGAGAATCAAAGGGGATGTCAAATCTGCTGTGCACTATAGCTGACTTTGGAGAAGCATTTTTGGCTATTCCAAGCCTTGATTTCTTATCTGTAAAAATAGGCAAAAAATAATGGTGACAATGGCACCTGCTGTGAGGGCAGCTGTTAGATTGAAAGGAGGGAAGGCATGGAAAGCTCTTGGCAGAGCACCAGCATGTGGTACCTGCAAACCTCAGAGGCCACTGAGAAGAGCTCTGGCCAGTGGTGAGGCCACACCCTCAGGGTCTCACTTTGCAGCTGCCTAGCAAGGACCTTAGGCTGGATGACTTCTGAGGGAGAAAAGCAAATATGTACCTATACTGAGGATGGAAGCACAAACAATCTGACAGCAAATGGATACTTAGACAGTGTTTGTGCAACATAAATAAATAGCGGAGAGTTTCACCAAGTAGGAAAGAGTGCACTGTACTTCAGATTCAGAGGCTTCTGAATCCTGCAGAGAGTGAGGTATAATGCCGCATCTCATGATGGCTAGAAGTGTTTATGGTTGTTATCCATCTCCCTGCCACCTTCTCCCTCACTGGTACTAATTTGAACAAGCGGGAGTACCACAAGAGAACTATTTGCATGGGTGGTTATTCTTCTCTGAGATACCAGATATAACTAAGCTTAAAGAAATGGGGAAAGAAAAGAACTTATAATAGGAAGAGGGGAGAGAGGATGAAGGTCTAAAGAAACATGAAGATCTCTAAATAGCAGGGGAAACAAGTGCTACAGTAGAGTACAAAAGGCAGAAAGGAAGAAATTGCAGACATCTGTCTGAAATTATAGTTCATTCCCCACTACGCACTGTCCCATTACCTGAGGACAGGGCATTTGTAAATCCTTCTGAACAGAGGGTGGGAACCTGGACACCCTGTGTGGGATGGATCCCTAAAGACATACCTCTCCAAGGAACCCAGGGCAAGGGAGTGGGGAGAACTGTCTATGCACTGTCACTTACATGCCTTTGTAATAGATGCTAGGAGGCATACGACCTGTCTTATTCATAGTGGTCCTGTAGAGCCACCCTTAAACTATACACATGATTCATTTTTTCCCCTTGCAGATGTAATGGCCACATACAGTTCCTATGCTCAGGTAGCTTTCGATGTGCAAACAGCTGCACTAGGCTCTAGGATATGAGATGAAATCAGTCCCTTCCTTATGGAGCTTCCAATTCAATGGGAAACAGCTAATATGCAAACAAACCATAACGACAGTTATTATTTTCATAGGGTTATGGAAGAAATAAATAGCAAGCTGGGGGGAGGATGACAAACCACATTTCACTAATCAGTCATGCCTGGCTTAGTAACAGCGTATGTAGGAATATACTTTTTCCATTACAGAAAAATTAAAAAGGACCATAGCCCACTGTGGTCTTATCCCTCAATATAACCACTTCTCTCTTCTCCCTTCTCTGCCCTCTCTCCCATATTTCCTTTCTTTAGATATGGTCTGGCTTTTTTTGCCTAGGCCAGTCGGGGACTGTGATTCCCGGGGACTGTGATGATGATATGTCTATCATATGGCTGGGGTGACAGGCACATACTACCACACCTAATTTATTTGTTGAGATGGGGTCTCACTTAACTTTTTTGCATCAGGCTGGCCTTGAACTGTGATCATCTGATCTCTGCCTTCTGAGTAGCTGGTGATATAGGTGTGAGATACCACACCTGGCCCCAGCCCTTCTCGTATATGGCTTCTATTCCCTGCAATAGAGCCAACCTGCTAATGCTTTTCCAGGTTTAGATCAACATATCCCTGGATGGATGCCTAGAATCTATAGAAAATTGAGTTAAGAGCTAATGGACCCTCTAAAGAATGATGACTACTTCTGCTTCTCCAACCATCCCATCTG